TGGCTCCCAAGAGGGCACTTTAGCACGCGTTTTGGCTCCCAAGAGGGCACTTGAGGGCAGTTTAGCACACGTTTTGGCTCCCAAGAGGGCACGTTTTTCAACAATTGGGCGACCCTGAATCTCGCCCCGTGATTTGTCATACCTCAGAGGGGTCAGACATCATCTGGGACGCTGCTGTCGACATCATTATTTCCCCGTCAATACTGCTGAAAGTATGCAACTGTGCTGTTGAGCAAAATCCTGGTTGAAGGGACAAGGCCAGAGGCCAGCTGTGTGTGTGCTTGGCTGCCTGATTCTTATTTTGTTTTGGTACTTTGTCTAGACCACTGACACTCTACACCTGTAGGCCTAAATGTCTGTAATACCGTGCTGTTGGGTTAACAATGCAATTTAATAAAGATGAGTGAACAGTATTCTGGTGTCCTGCATGTTCTTACTGACAACCATGCATGGAGCGATCCAGTCCACTGAATCCGTATCAAGGCCCATTACTGGCCTCACAAAAGGGATCAGGTATCGGCCATGGCATGACTGATCCACATTTAATACAGTTTCTTTTTCAGTCTTTGTAAAAAAACATTTCTTTCGTCAGCTCCATCCATTCAGTCACAGTGATCTGCTGACTCTTTGGGTTTTGGACCACAGGTCTTGGCAACACAATACTGCAATCAGGAGGAGTTGCAGCAGTGTTGACACGAGAGAATAAGCAAGCTGGATGCTCAGAGGCGTAAACGGAGACGAAGGATTCTGGAAATTTAGGCAGTTAACGTTTGACGGTTGTCAACTGGCGGATTATAAAAGCAGCTGTGTGTTAATTATTCGATGCCAGTAAATCTTCAAGAGAGCAGAATTCTGGAAAACCTGACAGTTGCAGCTTCTTTCTTTTATATCAAAACCTTTACACCCTCAGGGATTAATCAAGGCTTACGGCCAAAACAGTTTACCTGCTGACAGATCCTGACATGTCAGACATCAGATCAGTGGGGAGGAAGGGAAGGAGAGCCAGAGAACAACACATGCACACCCTGTAATAGTTGTCATTTCCCAGCATCTCTTTCGTAAACAGCCACTTCCCGCCTTTTCTTTAGCGCATGCACGCACTCTCTGTTATGTGACAGGCTTCAGGGAGGAGTCCGTGGGTGTGACTCAGACAGAAGACGTTTGCTGATTGGTTGAAGGAAGGTATGCCTCCTGTCACATTATGCATGATGAAAGCGTAGTGCTATAATTCTCCACGCTGCTGCTTTTCTTCCCCTTGTTGCCAGGTCAAAGTTCAACCTCAGTGACACAGAACACCACACACCCAACCACTTCTTTACCCTTTGGGAAAAACTTAATCCCCGCAGCCATTTCCACCATAAATAAGGCCATAAATAGGTAAATAATCTCTGTGGTGAACAAACATTTATGATACAGACACATTTCTGTTCAATAAGATAATCTTCACTAAAGCCAACGTTGCTATGAACCAACCTACGGTCACATGACTTCATCACCACGAAACTTCCAACTGGTAATTAAATCTTTAATTAAAAATCTACAAGTTGTAAAACAAAAAGGAGTCCTGTGTCTCACCGTTCACCTGCTGGTAACGTCATGGAGATCTGAAAAACAACCATTTACTGTATTAGAAAAAACACCAACAAAAACAGACAAATTAAAGTTACGTATGAATCAATCTTCCAACAGGTCAGAAACTCTCTACACAAGCAAAATATTCAGCCTGTTAAATTTCACCTGATCATTAATACCTAATGTTTGCCAACCATTAATGACCAAACTGCAACTACATTTCTTAAGGTTTTTGGTGCCCGTTGAGAAAACTGCTAACTCATGTCCGGGTTTAGGACTCTCAATAACGGCACAATAACACATCGGAAGAGAAGCTTCAGAAAAATACACAAATCAAATATTTAAACGCATCAAAATACTCACTTTTCTTTCAGTTTCAGGTGATCAGACAGTGATCTCTGGAAACGACCAGGAGACGGTAATGACTCATCTTAAAGATGATATGAATGGATGTTCTCACTATGTATGAACAATACTTATAAACACACTCTTTCTCCACGTCCTTGTAGTAAACCCAACACCCTTTTTTGCCTCTGCCACAGTTTTAAAACACACGCACACTTTTATTTTGACAACCGATATCTGACATCCTGGGACAAACCCCCAAAGTCATTTGATGATTGGTTGATCACCTGGGATGAGAGAAACCTTTTTAAAGAGGGATCATATGCAACAATAATATTAAAAATAACTCATAAAATAATTATAAATAATAATAAATAATAATATTATAATAATAATAACTATTATTTCTTATGTTGAATGTAATGAAACAATCAATGCACAATCTTTAACCTTTTTATTTTATTTGGGAAATTTAATATTTACAAAGCAAAATGTCATAACTCCTGTTTAGAGTTATGTCTCACTGAAATTTAATGTTATTTTGAGTTTCTTAAATGTGTAACAAATAAGAACTGAATGTCAGTTCAAATGTTCAGAGACTCATTTATTGCTTTTAATCTTATTTTTTATTGCTGCTAATCTTTTGGTGTGTATGTGAAGAATGTGAATAGTTCCCATAGCAGCATAACAGGACTGATGCTCCAGACTATTACCAGTTAACTGTTGAAACTAACTAACACCTGGTTAA